TAGAACAGAAGATACTTCTTGAAAGAAAGAGCAGCAGAAAAAAATCAAAAGCAATAATGGCAGCCTGATTGACTACTACAAGAACAAGCAAGTTGTTTACCAGGGAGCCATCAAGGCAAGCAAGTCCCCTCAGGGCAAACCCTCTTCCAAGACAGACTCAAGGGGAATACACAAGCAGGTCTTGCTGGTGACCATGCTGATCTACCGATGAGGGGAACTAGGGTAAAAACAGCAATGAAGTTGTAAGCTAAGTCCCACCATGTTGAATAGATTCCTGTCAACCTGGGTTGAGACCTCGTTGGCCAGTAATATGGTGAGACCTGGGAACCTGGGTCCAGAGACAGTGACATGGTCACAGAGGAGTAGAATGAAGAGTGAAGTATCCAGCTGATATGAAGTGAAGGGAGATGCACAAGAACAACCATACTTGCAGATAGTACCCATTCAACCTGGCTTCAAAGGCTAGATGATCAGAACTTGACTAGAAGAAGAAAAAAGGAGAAAAAAAGAGTAATCTGCTATAATTTGACAAACTTGACTCATACTTATAGATGTAGTAGCTCAAAACAGGGAACACATATTTACAGCAAGGATCATTCCCACCCTCTTGGTACACAGGGTTGACAGGGATGGGCAACTTAGACATTGGCTACCCAAAACGGAGGGGGAGTGGGGCTACAAAGGCACGAAGTGACTGGCTTACAAGCTTTCAAGAGGGATCCTAGTTTCAGAGGGCATGGGAGAAGGTAGAATCTCCACTGAGTGGTTTCCAACCTATCTGGATGTGGGTGATGAAAGGAGATGGGGCTAAGACTCTTGTGGTCCAATAGTGAATAATTGCTATCAGGATTGATTGTGAGTGTTGCAAATGTAAAGGTAGACATTTTGTTACAAAAGGAGGGCAGTGGTTGATCTTGCTGTCCAGGAGCAGAAGACTCTGGGACCATCAAGATAGAGAGCGGAGTGCAGAACCCTATCCAGAGAAGCAGTGACACCAGAGATGGAAGCAGAGATGATGAAGTACAGAGATGGAGTGACAGGACTCTGCACTCAGAGAGGGAGTGGGTCTGTGTGCTGATGGCCAGGGGGCAGACTTGCAGGGTGTACCCTTTGGTTGTTTGAATGGTTATATATTCCTGAATGCTTCAGAGTACATCCCCCCACAAAAAAAACAAAACAAAATAAAACAAAAAACCCCAGAGGGAATGGAAGCAAATGTTATTGAATGATGATGCATGGAGCAGATTGTCATCACTGTGATGAAATGAAATACAATAGGATGAATGCAAAACTGATGTTCTCCCATGTAAATGATCACCCAATTCACAAGAAAAACTTAAACACACACACACACACAATAGGTAAAGCAAATGAGGCAAATTCATGATAAATGTTGAATGACTAGTGGGTACAAGGGAATTTGTTGTATCCTTCTCTCTGCTCTTACATATTTGAAATTTAAAAAACATGTAAGTCCATTCCAAATGCACACAAACACACATGAAATGTAAGACTAGTTTGCTCTGTACCTCTACCTAAAACAGCATGCTAATAATTACATAGGAATTTGATCTAAATGTCACTTTGATTTTCATACACACACACACACACATTCTAATACATATGAGGAGCCCTGGTGACATACAAACATATACATGTATTTTATACTACATTTATATACAAACACATACTAAATTTCTTTCTGAATAACTGTCAAATGTGTAAAAAAAAAAAAAAAATGCCATTTTACCAAACATATTCATTCTATATGAAAGAGGTATAACATTGTTGAAAAATTCTTCAATTACTGAAAATAATTCATACTAATTTTTATCCTGACTAGCCTAAAATCAGAACTCTTATTTTTCAACTGTTTTCTGCATCTTCCAAAGGAGTAAGCTAAAATTCATTATAAGTGCTTAATATATTTTATATCAAACCACTGATTTTATACTTGCCCTTTTTAATTCTTAAAAGTAAAATGAGATAAAAAAGAAAAATACATATTTGAGTCTAGCAATTAAATAACTAGCAGCATTTTTCTCTTAAAGCAAGCACCTAAAGTATATTGGAGTGAGGTGAGTTTCAGAGGTTTTTGTTGACCACAATTAAATGATGGACCTATATGACTAATAGAATGTATACTGAAGAAACCCAATTGTAGGCCTAGACTTCTAATTGTACACTCATCATAAAACAATTTGAGGCAATTCAGAAAAGGCGGGTACCAGCTATTTGATATAATTATAAACTTCTAATTTACTGGATATGCCCTGCTATGCTTGAATTTCTTATACTGGAGAGATAAAAACAGAATTATCACATTACCTTTTTCATTTGACAGAACCATAATGCTGTCTCTGTGTGTGTGTCCATAAAATTGCCCTGCAATGACATCGCTGTATTTTCTAAAAATACCGATCAATTTCTTATTATAATACTCTCTCATCACCGTGGTGCTCCTTACAAAGGGCAGATACCCAACTGGAACATGTGCTATGATGTACACCTGGAAGATGATACACAAGGACTGGTGAGGATGGTGTTGGACATTCATCACAGCCAAATGGCATCTGGATGCCCAAGTCTCAAAGTACATTAACTGAAATATACACAGTGAATGTATGATCTCTCCTATTTTACAAGAAAGACAAAATTCTTTTAAAAAATTAAGGTCACTACATTAGCACTTGTCTTATTTAAATTATACTGTTGACAATATAACTATGACCTTGATCACAAATTTTTAAAATAGGCCTTTCTTAATACTTAGAGATCCCAATATATCTCAGAGCATTAAAAATAGAACAATGACAGAGATAGGTCATAAGGTATTTTATATGAAACCATAATAATTTTCTTTTACAATTATTAGACACCCTCCCCCAAGTTCAGTAAATATACCTATTTAGCTCTCTGTTTATTCCCTAAAGATTTTGGTCTATGTGATTTACCTTCTCCTTATTTTGCCAAGAGCTGTTCAATGTGCTTTCTAGCCATTCAAACTGATTTGCTGGGTCAGTCTCATTCAAAGTCACAATATTTGGGCTGTAGTACAAGTTTGTGTTTAGACTGATGACTCGGAGGCTTGGATTATTGGTAACTTTTTGTGAATAAAAGCCACCTATTAAAACAAATTCAAAACACACACATGCAGACATTGTGAAAGTAAATTCTTAATTAAAGATCTGTAATTTGGATAACTCAAAGCTGTGTTATTTTCACATGACAAATACCTACTAGGTTAAAAGTTAATATCCACTCTCTCTTTTCAATTAATTTCATAATTATCAAGACATAGTTCATTTATAGTCAAGTCCAAAGTTCAGCTTTTGCTTCATATGAAAACACACCTACTTGAGAGTAAGAAAGGAACAGGACGAGACGAGCTCCCTACAAGACAAACAGGCTCACAACAGGTGTCCCAAAGCCATGTTTCCACTCACTGCCCTCAAGAGACACTGAGGCCTGAGGCTCTCTGGAGTTTGCACACCGAATTAAACATGAAAAATCGTAAAGTCTAAATAAATAACATGAATAAAAAGGCAGGCAAAACATGGGAAAGTCTTACCTATCCTTAAGGTACTGACAGCTTCTTCAGTTAGCCATGGTTTCCAAAGATTTGCTACGGCATTGTACACTTTGCTGGTGGCTACCGGCAGTTGATCCTGGCCAAACACAATATCATACATCACTTAAATATTAGAAGCTATAAGGAGTAATCAGTTTCAATTTTACTTGAGCATTTACTGGTGCATTAGGCATCTGGAAGCCTAGATACCAGATAGACTTAATCTTCAAGGCCCTTATAACTTGGGATATGGGAAAGAAAATTCTGAAACAATGTGTTGTGCTGGGTGCTATGACAGACGTCCCGAAGGTGTAGAAACAAGAAGAATCAAGTGTTCCCCAGAGTGTCAGGATGGAGAGAAACTAAATCAGAATAATGATTTCACAAAGTTGATTTAAAGAAATGGCAGCAGAGATAAAATAGCAATGGCTCAGACACAGCCCACATGAAAGTGTATGTCCCATACAGAGGTAGTGTGTTTACTAAAGAGACAATAAGAGCAGGTTTGAGCCTAAACATGTGGGGTCTAGTGCAGTATACCAAGGCAATGGGAAAAAAATGTCATGACATCAGAATGAATTTTATTTTAAAACTTTGTAACACCCTGAATGGAAATTTGTAACTGCATGCATTTTATTAGAAGATCTCCTTATATCATGTTTTGAATTTTATAAGAATATATATATATATGAAACATTAGTTTTGAGTATTATAAAGTAGAGAAGCTAGAACTGTATTTATGGTGACATATTTATAAAAGGGGGAAAACTTTAATAAGGCAATAAGGCAAACACTGAACAAAAAAAATTCATTTGTGAAACTGGATAATTACTTCTATTGTTATTATTGTTAATTATGTTTAAAAACTGGAAACGTTTATCTCTACTCTTACTTTTCTTTTGTATATAGCTCGCATAAATCTATTTATTAGTGACATTTCTTGTCAGCACCAATGAAAACACGTCATTTTCCAAGTCACTTTAATTCAAGGTGACTTTTCCTTACTACATAAAACATGATGAAAATAGATTCACAATCAGGTCAAGTAACAATCAATTTATTTTAACTGAAACTAATTACCCAAAATATGTTTTCAGTTTATAACACCAATCAAGATCTAGGGACAGTTGATGAGTTCCAGAGATGAGTCTATATTCCAGATTCTGCCACCATCAAGATCACCTAACTGATAATTAAACAAAGGTGTAGGCCAATCCAGACCCCAATTAAGAAATGGTAACAATACTAATAGTGACACAAAATGATAAAGTCTTGGTCATGTGTTTACTTTGGGATGGATCTCAATACATGGATGTTGTTATGTTGGATTATAAAGTTATATATTTTATATATTATATAAAATATATTTTATATGTTATATAAAAATCACTCTAGACTTTACTATTTGAAATATGAAAGAACAAAAGGAACACCAGAGAAATTAGGTGACTTATCCAGCGAGACCCGGGTGTAAACCCAGATCTTTCCACTAACAATCTACATCAAGATATATATTGCACCATGCTCCTCTCCAATCTTTTTTGACTGTGACATGACTGCTGCCGAGAAATGAGGTATAATGGGAAAGGACCCGCCCATAAGGTTGGTGGCACCAGTCTTGCCAGTGGAGGAGTAAATGAGGACCACGATGAAGACAGCTTCCTAGGGTGGCAAAAGGAAGGAATCCCTGGGCTGCCCACACTAATATCTACCTCTGCTGCAGTTATGGGTGGGGATGTGTGTCTGAATATGTCTATTTATGTTGCCATGGTGCACATGGAGAAATAAAACTTATTAAATCTATTTCTTCCTAACATTCATCAGAATTAGATCTCAGGTATCAGTCTCTACGAAATATTTATGTTGAAACTTTGCGTATTACATTTGACATTTCTGAAACAGCAAAGGGGAGGGAATAGAATTTGAATAATAGAAAAGATTTTCAGATAAAAAGGCCTAAGGAAAGAGAAAAAAATTAAATGTCTAAGGGATATTGCCTTTACCCTAGCCACAGATAGTAAGATCTTTTATAGAAGTTAGTTTCCATGTGTTTGAATTATTAAAAGATTTGACGACACAGAAAGACATAGATAAAGGCAAAATGAAATGCAGCTTGAAAAGAATTAAGTCAAAATGAATCTTGTGTCACTATTTGTTGTTAAGTGTTGTTGAGATGGATCCAACTCATAGTGACCCTGCACAGGGTTTCCAAGGAACAGCTGCTGTGTTTGAACTGCCACCCTTACGGTTTACAGTACAGTGCCACACCAGGAACCCATGTATCACTACTGAATGACTACATATCATATGGACAAGGTACAGTAACTACCACTCCACTTACTGGGACTTTTTTCTTATGGGCTTGAGTGGCACAAATGGTTAAGCACTGGACTACTATCAAAAGATTAGCTGTTCAAACCCACCCAGAGATGCCTCAAAAGGCCTAGTGAACTGTTACAAAAGGTCACAGCCTAGAAAGCCCCATGGGCTAGAAAGCAATTCTACTCTGCACACTTGGTGTCACATGAGTCAAAATTGGAACAACAGTAACTATTAACAATATTATGTGAGCGATATTAAACTCTGCCCTTTACATATATTATCACCAACTTACACACAAACTTTGCATCATAGGAATATATTTCTCCTATTTACAAATGACGGGTCAGGAACATTAAGTGAAATTATCCAAGGTGGCCAATCTATTAAGGAGCAGAACAGGATGGGAATTTAAATCCTAGTGAACATGACTCTTAACCACCCATGCTTTCTACTGAACTAGTTTGCATATCACTCAAGACATAATAAAACAATTCATGGAACCTTGGGGAACCTATAGCTTGTTTGTCCTTATCAAGCCTCTGCCCTCTGTTGTCTAGCATCTAAACAGTAACAAAAGCTAACCCCTGCTTGAGGTGCTGGCTCACAAATACTTGCATGTTGTTCACCTCAAGATGGGAGGCCAGTACAAAGAAACCATTTGAAATTTAGGCTTGCTCTAGAATGTTGTTATTAAGTGCTGTTGAGTCGGTTCCAACTCATAGCAACTCTATATAGGATTTCCGAGGAGCAGCTTGTGGGTATGAACCACAGACCTTGAGTTTAAACTGACCTTGAGGTCAAGTGCTTATCTTATACTACCACACTAGTTTACAGCTTTTCAAAATCACTGTAATCAGATTGGAGGAGACAAAATAATCAAAATCTCCAGTAAGCTCCAAGGTGATATGAGCTGGAAATAATATTCTAACTAGAGAAAAATTATGGTTAAAATAGAGAGTCTGAAAGTAAATTGCTCAGAAAATTGTATTTTAGTCTGGCAAGAGCAAGAGATGTGTCAGAGAATGTTAGTCTAATTTAAGACAGGACTAAAGTGAGTAGATTTATGATATGAGCTTTTCCAGGGCTATGGATGTAGAATGTGATTGTGAGGACTTGGTCAAGTTAGAGTAACATTTCTGGGCCTCAGTTTTCTTGCCTATAAAATGAAGGATTGAGCTAGACCAGGAGTCTGCAAACTTTTTATATAAAGGATCAAATCGTAGTTTTGGCTTGCTGGTCATAAAGTTTTTGTCACCACTATTTATCTCTGCCATTGGAGAAAGAAAGCAGTCATAGACATTATGGAATACACATGGCAACCCTGGAACGAAACAACAGTCTCTAGGAGCCCTTCCATCTGTACACCACTCTAACGGGACCCTGAAAGTCGGCAATAGTATTCAGCTATTATGGATAGGATGGCTCAACAAATGGTCACTCTAACTGGCTGGAGCCGAACCTACAACAGGCATTCAACACTCTGAACACCTTCTCTGCCTAGAATCAACACTTAATTAGATTAAAAGGACTTGAACAAGGGTTTTCCTCCTTGGCTTTTTTTTGGTAATTGTTGTTGTTGTTGTTAAGTGCCATCGAGTCGGTTCCGACCCATAGCAACCCTATACAGGGTTTCCGAGGGTGTAAATCTTTACGGGAGTAGAAAGCCTCATCTTTCTCCCGCGGAGCAGCTGGTAGTTTCGAACCGCTGACCTTAAGGTTCGCAGCCCGATTCGTAACCACTACGCTACCACAGCTATGTTTTTATATTGTAATCACAGTTTAGATCAGGTGTACAGGGATTTGAATGCCAATAGGCATTCTTTAAAATGTAAACATTTGTCTACATTAACCATCCTTGCCAACCTTGTCATGGAAATGTACATGAACAATAATTATTTGAAAAGGGGAAAAATGAGGAAAATTGCAAAGGAAATCAGAAATTAATAACTCACAAACTGGGTAATTTTGTACTAAATCACTATCGACATAACTTTTTAAAAAACATTTTAAAATTCATTTTAAAGTCTCCAAACATTTGTCTTGCTTTCCTTAATTAGAATTAAGGCACTCTACCTCTACACCAGCGGAGTCCTGGTGTGGCGCTGTGGATTAATGCACCAGACTGTAAAGCCATTTGAACTGCAAGGTCAGTGGTTCAAGCTTACCTGCGGCTCCTTGGAAACCCTATATAGGGTCACTATGGGTCAGAACCTACTTGACGGCACTTAACAACAACAACCTCCATGAGCCCTATTCCCAGCCCTGGCTGTTGGCAAGTTAGCCATAATTTTGACACTGCTAATAAGAAAAATCTATGGAACACTTCTAGAAGTTGAGGTCAAATTTACCTGTGGCCAATAGTCATGATTCCCCAATGCAGGGAAGACCTGGAGATTTGGAAAGAGACTCTGGATAGTGATTGTCATATTAGCAATCACATTTATGACCGTGTCTGTTGAGAGTTCTCGTACTGGAACATGAGGTGGACTATCTCTGAGAAGATACAAATGATATAAAACAAAATCATTTTCTATAAAACGTACCCAGGAGGCCTTGTCATAACATTACAGACATATACAATAAAACGGTAGATAATAGTTACGATGAGTTGATAAATTACTCTTCGTCAGCTTCATCCACTCCCACCCTCCACAGAGAATCCTACACAACAGAAAAAGAAAAGAAATACAAAAGAGACGCAGGAAATGTTAGTCTGTTTGACGGCCTGACTACAGCTTTAAGAGAAACAAAAAGTCTAGCAATTAAGAATAAAGACTGTAGAATCAAAATGTCTGCATTCAAATCCCAGCTTTGCCACTTCCTAACTGTGTAGATCTGGGCAAGTTAGTAGATGCTTGTTGTCTCCATTTCCTTATCTGTAAAATGGAAAGAATACAAATATCTATTGTAAAGCTTAAATGAGCTATGCCGTATAACTTACCTAACACAGGATCTAACATGAAGTAAGCATTCTGTGAGTATTAGCTATGGCACTGGAAAATAAGTCTCTTCACTCTGTCATAACAGATGGAATCTGTTAATTATACCAGCAGAAAATGAAGCTTTACAAAATTGCCTTCACAGATTAACTCCTACTAAATTTTATTCTGGTATAATTAACAAATTCCATCCATCGACAGAAAAGAGACCAGTATTTCAAGTACCATAGTTAATACTCAGAGTGATTACTTTATCTGGATTCTATATAGGGTCACTGTGAGTCAGAACTGACTCAACAGCACTTAACAACTATATTGCCTTGTTGTTTCTTTTTTAACCAAAATCTATTACCACATTAAACAACACCTCAAAACATTTACACAAAAGTATGCAGTTTATTAATTCATCCCTTAGTAAACATTGACATATTTTTGAAGTCTCGACTCCAAAAATACTCCTTAGACTTTTAAAGTTTTTCTTATCTCTAATAATACTGATTGGAAGTATGGTAGATCTGTAGGAAAAGAACTGGACTGCAAACCACAAGGTCTGTAGTTCAAGTCCACCAGTCATTCCATTGGAAAAAGAGGCTTTCTGTTCCTGTGAAGATTTATAGCACCTTGTAACCCTATACAGGGCTGGTATGAATTGGAACCAACTTAAATGCACTTAATAACAACAAATATACTGATTAATTTTACCTAGGGTCTTTTACCCAAAAAAATTCCAAAAATATAATTAATTTTCTTTAGGATGCCAGCATTCTAATGATGTGTATGTGGATACTAAGTAAAGTCTATTTATATGATCACTTACCCTGTCCATATCATGAAAGATGCTTTTTGTCCTGAGTTTTTAATAAAATCAAACACTGACAAAATAAGTTGATATGGAGAATCACACAGGACATCTCCAAAAGGGCCAGGATTGGAGGCATTTTCACCTTTGGATGAAGAGCACACTTTTGTGTGATCATCTGTGATGTGGTAAGTAGGGTCTAAGTGCAAGTCGGTCACGTGCCAAAATTGTCCTGTTGAGTAAATAAGAAATGCTGTTAAATCTAGTTCGTTTTGGAATTCCCATACAAATATTTACATTGGTAGCACTAGAGACAGTTGTTCCTCCATGTGAAGGAGGAAAGTCTGAGTAACTTAAAGGTTGGTGTATTCTAATGTTAAATACAGTCCTTCCCCATGAGAAGAATGAAATACCTAGGAAGAATTTGCATGTATCAGAATTGATAGTTCAGTGATAGCACGGCTGCACAACAAAGAAAATCTGTAGAATGAAACATACATCCTTCTGGAAGGTAAAAAATATCATAGTATGTCCTAATAGGAAGTCTCTGAGCACAATTTAGTGTTTGGAAATTATTTATATTCTTTTTGTAGAGAAACAGAAATATGATCTCATTTGTTATAGTTACCCAGTTACATTGCAGAAAATTATATGATCACTCCTAAATTCTTGCCCAATCTTGCCTTTTAATATCAATGTAAATATAACATGAATTTATTATTATTAAAATTTTTATTGTGAATTGAGTGATAGTTTACATGGGAGAACATTGGTTTTACACTCATTCTACTGTATTTCGTTTCATTGCAATGATTAAGTCACCTCTGTGCATCAGCATTCAACAGTATTTGCTTCTATTCCCTGTTGTTTGTTTTTTGGATGTATACAAAAACACTCAGGAATATATAATCACTTAAACAAACACCATAAATTTTTAGATCTTTTTTTTGTGGGGTGGGGCAGTTAGGAGTAAGGAGTTAGAGTTAAGAGCTATGGCTAGGTCTAGGCTAGGCCTAGGGCTTCCTGTTGTAGGGTCCCAGTTAGGTTTATTTTTAGCTTTTAAATCCCAAACAGTAATTTACAAAGGATCTTGAAATCTATTTGACAGAGGAACATAGTCTACCATGCATTTCTATAAAATGCTGATTATATTAAGGGAAGCAGAGGTTAAGGAAGATGATTTCATTGGGTTTTCAGGAAGAAGCCAAGAATCCATTTGATAGCAACCCTGCTTGGATGTCATCTTGAGAAAGATTCTTTCATTGAAGGAAATTATGTTGTTAATACCAATAATAATATATCTCTTTACAAATTATTTCTATGTGTAAGGCTCTATGATAAGCAATCTATATATGTTATTTCATTCTCAAAATTACTCTATAAAATGGGAATCACTGTCCTCAATGTAGAGTTAAGAAATTAATACTGGGTCCATTAGGAAATGTGCTCTAATATGCACAGCTGTAATGGCAGAGTCAAAATCTGAACCCATTTTGAAGGGCTCCCACATTTATTTAGACATATTTGGGAATGCAGGGTAAGCACTGGTCAGCAGTCCAAACCCACCAACTGCTCCTCAGAAACACTATAGAGAGCTCCTATGAATCAGAACCAACTTAACCGCACTCAACAACAACAATTCACATACATCTATAATGATTTTCTGTCCCTGCATATATAATTTCAAAGTTGTTTTAATACTGAGATTTTGTAGCATTTTGAATTTTTAGTCCATTCTGATTACTACTACATCAGATACGTATATACTGGAAGAGATAACAGCACATGACCACATCAGAACAATGGAGCAAAACAAATGTAAATTTTTATCTATAAAATGAAGAGAAAAGTTACATATGTATAAAGACAAACACTTGAAAAAAATAAAAGCAGGCATAAGAAAGCTAAAAAACTGAAAACAGTTGATTTGGTAAAGCAGGAAAAAAGTGAATTTGGGCTGTTGTTTCTTCCAAATTATACTATAATCTTATAACATAATAATGTTCACAGCTGAGGAGCATATAGACAGAAAGCATAGAAGACAATCTACAAAAAGCAGATTTTCAATGTTCTACATGCTACTTTGGTAAGTAGCTATTGGGATCTTACAAACTCATGAGCAGCCATCTAAGGTACAACTATTGTTCTAAGTGTGGAATTATCAGACTTCATTTTGCTTGGATTCACAATCAGCACTCATGGAAGCAAGAGTCAAGAAATCAAATGACGTACTGGTGGTGATGGTGGTGGTGGTGTGGAGGTGGTTCCGACTCATAGTGACCCTGTATGGGATTTCCAAGGCTGTAAACCTTTACAGGAGCAGAAAGCCTCTTCTTTCTCCCGTGGAACCGCTGGTGGTTTTGAACTGCTGACTTGAGGTTAGCAGCCCGACTCATAACCACTACACTACCAGGCTAATCTGCTGCACAAGACCTCTCTAAAGTGTTCAAGAGCAAAGACAACAGTTTGACGACTAAGGTGCACCTGACCCAAGCAATGGTATTTTCAATTGCTTCACTTGCATGCAAAAGTTGGACAGTGAATAAGAAAGACAACAAAAGAGTTGATGTACTTGAATTATAGTGCTGGAGAAGAATATCCAAAGTACCAGGGGTTGCTGGAAGAAGAAACAAATTCATCTTAGAAGAAGTGTGGCCAGAATTCTGCTTGGGAGCCAGAATAGTGAGACTTCACCTCTCATACATTGGACTTGTTATCAGGAGGGGCCAGTTCCTAGAGAAGGACATCATGCTTGGTAAAATGGAATGTAAGAAAAAAAGAGGAAGATCCCCAAAGAGATGGATTGACCCAGTGGCAGCAGCAATGAACTCAAAACTGTGAGGACAGCAAAGGAACCAGACAGTGTTTCATTCTGTTGTGCATGGAGTCACTGTTAGTCAGAACTGACCCAAAGGCACCTAACAACAACAGCAGCAGCAGCAGCAGCAGCATGTGTGTAGGAAAGAAAAGTGATGAAAACTCAAGATTCTTGAAACTGATTAGTCCAACGGAACACATGAACATCAGTCTACAACGGTCCTGAGTCTAGAAGAACTAGATGGAGCCCAGATACCACACCAACTGCTCTGAAAGAAATTGTATTAGGGGTTGTAATCAGAGTGAGTGAAAATGTGGAATAAAACAGAAAAATGTAAAAACAAAACAAATAGGCTTACTAGTCAGAAAGAGACTGGAGGAACCTAAAATTATGATCTTCGGTCACCCTTCAGGTCTCGAACTGAGCTCATCCTTGGGGCTCAATTTTCAGCCAAGTGGTCAGTATATTTACCTATTTATATACATATTTACTACTTGGGGGGGATAACACCACTATTAAGGTATGCTCACCATGGAATGGTCAACCATAGAAGACCAAAAGGGCAACATTTACTTAAGGACGAAGTTCAGAAGCATTGCGGGGGAAGGTAGAATGGAAGTAAGAATCACGAGGAGGGAGTAGCATAAATGTTAATACATGGAATGGTGTGCAATCATTGAGATGACACTAAGTGCATGATTTGCTTAATGTAAAATTGATGATCTGCTCTATAAACCTTCACTCAATTCACAATAAAAAATGTCAAAAACAACAACAAAAAAAGTCTTCATGGCCAATTAGTAGGTACTTGTTGTTAGGTGGCTTTGAGTCAATACCAACTCATAGGGACCTTATACACAGCAGAAAGAAACACTGCCGGATCCTGGGCCAACCTCACTATTGTTGCCACACTTGAGTCCACTGATGCTGCTACTTGGCCAATCCATCTCATTGGGAGTCTTCCTCTTTTTCTGTGACCCTCCACCTTGCCAATCATGATATCCTAGGTACTTAGTCACCAATTAAAAATATCTGCCAAAATTAATTTGATTTCTTTTATTCCCAAATGCAGGGAATATCATAACTATCATATCCAATTTACATAAACTTTATCTGGCACACAAAATTAGGTTGGTAAATAGCTCAGAATTATCCTGGAGATTGGTCTTCCCTGGGTACTAATACATTTGTTGCTGTGTAGTGCTGTCAAATCTGCTCCAATGCATAGGATAGTCAAGGAAAGGCAGGTAAGTATGAACTGAAGACCTTGTGGTTAGCAGTTAAGTGCTTATCCTGTAACACCATATCTCATTTTTATACAAACATGCATGTTTCACTATTTGTAGAATGTTAAGGTGTAATATGCTACATGAGACAGTAAACAAAGTGATTAAGGGTGGAGACTCTGAAGTCCAAATGTCTCATTTCAAAAACAAGCTCTATGACTTAAAAGCTGTGTGCCTTAGGTTTCTGTTTCTTCACCTGTAAAATGAAAATAATAATAGCATTTATAGTGTGAGAATTAACCTGGTTGAGGTAAAGGACTTGGAAGGTACCTGGTATCTACTAAGATCTGTGGCACTGCGAGTTAATGAGCTAAACTACAAGGTTGATTTGAACTGCAAGGTTGGCGGTTCAAGCTTACCCGCTGCTCCTCAGAAACCCTATAAAGAATCTCTATGGGTCGGAACCAACTCAAGGGCTCTTAACAACATATACAACAATTTAAATTTCATAGTTGTTGTTGTTGTTAAGTGCCGTCGAGTAGGTTCCGACCCACAGCGACCCTGTACAGGGTTTCCGAGGCTGTACATCTTTACGGGAGCAGAACGCCTCATCTTTCTCCCATGGAGCCGCTGGTAGTTTCAAACTGTTGGCCTTAAGGTTCGCAGCCCGATTCATAACCACTCTGGAAATTTGAGGTTGAGCTTAGCAACTAATATCACCAGAAAAAATGAATGCCCTCCAAGTGATGGATTGACACCGTGGCAGCAATAATGGGCTCAAATATAACAATGTAAGGATGGTACAGGACTGGGCATTGTTTCATTCTGCTATGCATAGGATCACTATGAGTTGGAACCAACTCAGTAACATTTAACAACACCATGTGAGATACTGTGATGAATAAGGGAAATGAAATCATAAGCATATGGAAGTTTTGTAAGCTAAAATTTAGACTGCATTAAGGGCATGCCCCTCTGATATAAATAACTGGATTTATACATACCCAGTGGGATTTACATATACCCAGCATCTAAAGCACATCTGACCAATAGTAAACCCTTAGCAAATATATCTTTAACTTACATATGATGACACTTAGGCAAAGGCTGATTTTCAGGTTTCCCTCAAGGTCACATGATGACTCAGTAATGAAAGCTGAACTGGAACCAGTCGCTCCAGACTTCCAG